GCATTCGTCCTTGCACCAAAACATGTCAGTGTGCAAAATTTCGCCAAAATATTGCGAATGTTGCGAGCTGCAGGTTGAACGCAAGAAAACAAGAGGGACATACAGGCTTAAATCGGTACACAATATGATTTTGAATGGGTATAGTAAAACCTGATTCTACATCAACTGCTTTCGGCTGTTGCTTACCTTCTTGTACCGCAAGTGGTGTGGGGTATTAAAAAGAACTCAGAAAATTATTTTCGGCTGCGACTGAATTTTCCACACTCACCATCATCATCATCATCTCAAAAAAGACTTGCACAAAATGAAATATCGGATTTCTATAATATTGGGTGGCCGTCGCTGATTTTTTCCATTTTCACACGGATGCTGCGAAATCATCCATTATCTGTACGTGTAAATATTTATCGCTGTGTTTGCTGCAGTTTATAAGTAACGAACGCGAAACGTAAGTTTTTATCTTTTTTAATGGATGAGGCGACAATATAACGTAGAGTAAGAACGTCTCGGTTTTTGCAAAGGACAGAAAAATTGCATTTTTTGGTCATTACTTAAAAACTACGACAGATGCCGCAGTAAAAATTTGAGCCGATATTCCAAAATTAATGTTCCACAACATTCTTAAAATAATGCGTGTGTTTCGTTCGCTATTCACAACGTGGAGCAATAAATATTTGTATATTGTACTTCAATATAAAGGTGACGTGTATAAAGAATTTCCTCACAGTCGAATATAATTTTCTTACTTGTTTGTTTTTGAAAACGGAGGGGTTATAAGCTTACCCTGTTCTTCAGGCGTGTCCTTCCGCCGCTGTCTGCGAGAATTTCAACTATTCCTATTGGATTTGGAATCGATTTTCGTCTTCGTTTCTGCGACCAGTAGAATGTTTACGAGAGACATTGCATTGACAGACAGATGGACAGATCTCTAAAGGATCCTTCTGAATGTTGTGACGTTTTAGCCAAATCATTTTATCCCCATCGTTTGCTGGAGGATATAAAAAAAATTTCTGAAAAATTCACAGTGTTTTTTACTCACCAGGCAAGCCGCAGATGCAATGGGAAAGTTGCTTAAGTTAAATTTCTTCGTCTGGATAGAAGAGACGATAACGGTGACGGTTATGACGTTGAAGATGCTGCCTGAATATCGAACCAATTTGCACGAATATGGCTTTCGCGATATCATTTCCTTTACACAGGTTGTAACGCCTCCTACTGATTACTTGTACAAGTTGCGCGGTACTTAACAAACTTAGAAGGCTTCTTTTAAATACAATTCAAGTAAGTTGTCCACTTGACAATAGGATATAGAAGAGGATTTGATGATTGGTGATATTTTTATATATTCTCTTACATTCAATTGAAATATTTTCGGTGTTTTATTTTTCTGCTCAGGTGTTTGTTAGCATGTTGTCAATTGTTCACGTTACATTTATGTGAATTTTAAGGGTATTTGGAATTAAACCTTTACTCGTTTGACATATTAAGTGCAATATATTATCATAACATTCTTAGAGACAGAATTTTATTGCCCCTTTTATACTTAACACCACTTGATGTGCAAAGGTGTATTAAGTTTATGTGGATGTATGCAACACAAAGAAAGACTTTTAGATGGACTCATCGATTTCTAAGTCAAACTTGTCTGGCCGTCTGTCTGACTTGTTTTTCTTGTTTTCAATCTGCAGACTCCAAGGACGAGCACTACTAAAAGTCGTGCGGATTGGAACATTTATCGAGCGCTTCTCATATTAGGCCTTATTTTGAAAATCCGTTACATGAATAAGTGTATTAAACCAAATGTTATAGAGTATTTAATGGTAAAATGTGGCTCACTATAGTGTTCTTACTTGTTTTTATACCTGTCACCGAAGGATGGGGGTATATACATTTTGTCAAAACGTTTGCAACGCCCGCAAAAAAGCATCAGAAACCCCACAAAGCATGTATATTCTTGATTAGCATCAAATTCTCAAAGGATGTCCGTCTGTCCGTCTGTGTAATGTCTGTTGTAAGCATTGTTCTGGCCGCAAAAATGACGCTATTGACTGCAAAGTTGGCAGAAACATTGGAAGTTCCTGCAAGCAAGTTGGCGTTGAAAATGTGCCAAATCGGTCAAAGGAGTCGCCCACATCACCACGTAAACCGAGAACACCTCTGTTTTTCAAAAGGAATAAAAAAATGGTGTTTTACTCATTTCTTATAAACTATAGCAAATAAATGTGCAAAAATTTGAGTTCATATTCTACGGGCGATGCTGTAGCATTTGTGCACAAAAATGGAAAAAATTAACTAACGCCTACCCAATATTATAGTATATCAAAATTGTATTATCTTTTCAATATGTTTATAACTCGCAGAAGCAAGTTTCAAAAACCGCACAAGTTATACAAATTCTTGGCCAGTTACAACACTTGAATGCACCTAAATATGTCCGCCTGTTCGTCTGTCCATCTATCCGTCTGCCCAACTTTGTAGTATTTGTGGTAAGCATTCGCCCGCTAACGAAAATGAAGACATTGTCTAAATATTTTCAAAAGAATTTGAAATTGGCCTCTACGACAAAAGCTCTTATTTTGAAAATAGAAGAGATCAACTGGGCCCGCTCTATATTATAGAGCATGAACATTTTGTTCTTTTACTTCTTATGTCTTTTTCTGTGGTAACGGTGATGGGTGTATAAGGTTCGGTCCGGACAGAATTTCACTTTCTTACTTGTCTTCGTTTTTCTTTTTTTTCTTTGAAGCCATAAGTATTCGATTATGTGTTTTGAAGCCTTTTCGCTTGTGTCAATTTCTTTTGTTATTTATCACTGTACTATTCAAGCTGTCACCATCAATTTGGTCTAGTGTCGCTGCATTAGAAATATTGAAGAAAATATTTTGCTATATTTCTGTTGGAATTTCTTAATAATTGTTTGGATTTGAGAATTTTTGTACTTTACCTTACTTAAGAGAAAGGTGCGTAAAATTTGTGCTGATGTTTGCAATAACCCCGACATAAGTTGAAGTGAAGTTAGTCAATTCAGAATTATGTTCTAAATCGAATTAACCCTGTCTCGTTGTCCATTTTCTTATCCGTCTGTCTTTCTTATTTCGTAATTTTCGAAATATTTTCATAAAATTTGGTTACAAATTTAATTTAATCCAAGGAACGTTGTGACGATAGTTCTCTATATAGCGCCCTATTTTAAAGAAAAATTGCAATGTTTCTTAACGAAAGTAAGTAGACGATAATACTTTGGCATATTATTACAAATGAATGTGAAAAGTTTGGATGTAGTAGTGCAGCGTAGAGGATTTGATGAACGACCATACTCGGCAATAATGTTTTAACTTGTCTGTTTATATTATTATTATATTTCTGTAAAGTGAAGGTATTATCATCCCGAAGACTTGATTGGCTTTTCTTTTCCACTCCGCTTCGGTGCGTTGATTGTTTCTTTTACTTTTTTCCAATCTATAATAGTTATTGAAATAATTTTTGAGCAAATGTGTTTTGTAAATAAAGTCGTTTATCTTCCTTTTGATTTCTTTCGTAATCTTGATTTCAAATTGGTTTAACTTTAACTTTACACCATTTGTCGCATGGGCATGTGAACTATGTACAAACCCATTAATTATTATACCAATCGATTAAGAATGATTGTGTGTTCATGTATTCTCGTTTTTAACCTACAAGTCGCGGTTTTTAAAATATATTGATAAAATATGGGAAACTTACAGATTTTGGTTAAAGAAGGAACTCTCTTGAAAATGAGTTGGATCCGATCACATTTTCCCATATAAAGCCCATACGAAAAAGCGCCCTTATGTGGGAAAAATTTTGCAACTCTTAACTTTTGTCTACAAAGGTCGGTGAAAAATCAGATTTTGGCGTATTAAACGAACAGGGAAAATTTTGTTAGAATGGATGTATAACATTTTTTGATACTTCCGTTGTCATACAAAGGCTCGGAAGAAAAGGTAAGTAACAAATTATCATTTTCTTATTCATTCTATGGCGAATATTTGTCCAAAATAATAAATTGCTGACTTAGTTAACTGTCTTAACCCTTTGCACCCGAACGGCGCCCGAGAGGCGCCATTACTATTTTTGATAATATTGTATGTTAAATTGTGCACGCGTTGTAAATTTTTTTACTTGGTGCGAGATTAGTCGGGTATACATCGGATCGTGGACACTTAGGTCATTCAGTCTGAACACTATAGCGTTTTTGGTAAAATCGTAGCAAAATTTTTGATGCTCTGTTAAGTGAAAACACTCACACAGTCAGTCATTTAAAATTTGTGAAAATTATTAGTGAATCAGCTAAAAGGAGATTATCGAGATATCGACCGTGGAGCTGGCCGTGGTTCTACATCATCTACAAAAAAAAAAAAATTGTAGAGTGTGCTCTGACCGAGCGGAAAAGAAAAGCGGAAGACGTGAAACTGTTTATTAGTGTCCTGAAAAACCTACGGTACACCTTGGAGAGTGCTTGCTCAAATATCACACTGAGGAAAATTATAAAATTTAATATTAAAATTTTATGTTTGTATGTATGTATGTAAATAAAAATGAAACATGTAAATAAACTACTTATGTTTAAAATTCGTATGTTTGATGTGTTACAATGTTTTATTAAAACAACTGTCGGGTAGCTGAATACCCATATTAAAAAAAGGTCCGGGTGCATAGGACGCAAAGCGTTAAGCTGTAACTGTATATGGTTATTTTCCGGATCCTTTATTTATTGGCATTTATATGGCAATAAGAACTATTTTTAGGAATTTTATAAAGATAAGAGCAGCGTAGGATATTTGCGGATGGACCATGCTCGACTATTTTGTTTTAAAGTGTTACATTTTTGCTTTCAAATTTATCTCATGCATGTTTCATATTTCGGCACAATAGGGGGGATGAGAAAAAACAGCCTCTTTTTTTCGCAACCAATTTTAATTTTTTGCAAATGTTAATCGCATATATATATACACATATATATATATTTATGTTTTCAGTGTGTCAATGCAATAGTCATGCTCGTCGCTGTCGTTTCAATTTGGAACTTTATAAACTTTCGGGACGCGTCTCTGGTGGTGTATGTTACAATTGCCAACATGATACTACTGGTCGATACTGTCATTACTGTCGCGAGGGCTTTTACCGTGATAACACAAAACCGCTCAACCACCGCAAAGTGTGCAAACGTAAGTAAATAATATGTAAATTGAAAAAAGCTAATTTAAAAAAAAAAAAAAAAAAAAAAAAAAGACTGGAAAATATTCCTCATTAAGCAGAGCTTAATCAATATTCTTTAGTAAAATAGTAATTTGCAACTTAAAGTTGGTGTAAGGGATTCAATGTCTTCAATCTACTTGTTATTGCGTTTTGATAATTCGTTTACATTATTCTTGCGGATTTGCAAATATAAGCAATCTCAAGGGGGATTTCTTCCGGTAATTAGGACGAAGAAGGGGGAGAGAACGATGAGACTGAGATGAGAGCAACCAATAGCCTGCAGTGTGTGTATCCAATCAAGCCAACTTGATCGTAGCTGTGACCACAAACCATTCGTAATTAAAGCTTGGTCTACCGTGCTCGTGAATGGGAACTCTGAAATGCCAATTTAATAGTCGCTCTTCTTAACTGCTTGCCTACGTCATATTCCATTCTATTTATTTATTCTACTTGTTATTGTTCTAAGTTTTAGAAAATAATACATTTTCAATCACAACTTGAGTTCGAAAATAGGTAGACGTCCTCTTTTGCTCTTCAACGAAAAAACATCTTCCTTTTTTTTTTCTTTTCGTGACAGAGAAATGGTGCAAACCCTGCAGTGGTTTAAAAAAAATAAATATATTCTAAAAATTGTTTAAGTGTTACTTGGGAAACATGTGTATCTCCGGTCCCGGCTCAAATCGATTCTGTCGAGATGAACGACAAGTGAAACGTTCCATCGCATCCTAAGTAAGTGCGAGGCCATCTGCAGAATTAAACATCGCATGTCTGACGAACACTTGATAACGTCAGATAATTTTACAGTTTCTTTCTCAATTGCTCTTTCATGAATTCATCAAAATAGACCAATGACGTTGTGTTCTATCTAATGGAATTTTGTTTACATAAATTTAATAATAATAAAAAAAGAAAAGAGTAAAATTGATTGAGCAAAAACATGCTGTCGAATAATTAAAAATGCATTAAAATAGGCGAGAGTAAGTTAAACGATGCTGAACGAGTATTCATGTTCTAAAAAGCAGGGAATTAATAAGAAATGTTATGCGCCATTTGTCATACGTAACGAAGTATATCAAACAATTACACTGCATTACAAATAATAATCAAAAAACGAGAAAAATTTCTTTTTCATAAAGTGTTCGCGATTGAACTCAGTTCAATGCTTGTTTTTTCTGTCACATGTTTCGCAAATTCTATAACATATGAGAGTGACCTTCTGGTCATATGGCCACAATTCAAAAAAAAAAACTATATAATTTAGATTTAAGTCTTTTTATCCTTAAATGAAAAAAATCTTACCCCAATGATATGCAATTACAACCGATAGGTTTAGACTTAATGGGATAGTCTTTTGCAACAGCTTAAAAAAAAAAGATATATTTGGAAATTTTTTTTGTTGGATGGAAGGAAAAGTAGTAGGGTACACATATTTTGGCAGGTTACGAAGCATACCTTTAAGTACTCGGAAGAAACTATTTCGGAAAACTATAAAAAAGTGGCAACACCGGAGCCAATCTCGCGAGGAAATTTAAAAAACTATTAACGTTTGATGAGACCACAGGAATTGAGATAGACCTATGTTTTATTATACAGATCGATTCGGGATCACTCTCTGAATCCATCGAAACTCGTCTGTCCGCCTGTCGATGACTGTGCTGACTGTTGTTTTCAACCTGTGCATCGCTATTTTTGAGATATTGTGATAATATTTGGTATGCCACCCGCTTTTGGTCCAAGGACAAATCCCGTTGAAAACAGTTTGAATCGAATCACTTTTTCGAAAAATCAAATTTCTTGATATTTGGCTCATTTACTTTCAATGTTTCCATCAAATTTGAAATCATTATTATTTTCATATTTGCACATCACACAGACATGGCTCAATCAGTTGAAAACTTCATGCTGATCGAAAATGTATGCACTTTATAGCGTCTCTGAAGCTTCCTGTTTTGGGTGCTGCAAGCGTTATGACAACCTGAATATACCCCCCCTTCCGTCAGTGGTGGGTATAAACAAAAAGATAGAATTTTTGTAATATTTTTTGTTATTATATTTTAATTACAGGCTCAAAGGCCTGACTTGTGCATTTAAATTGTTAATTAATTTTTTCCTTTCAAATATTCAAATCAGAGAAGATATAACGCAAGCGCCATATGTAAATAATATTTTTAATAAATACACTGCTCTACGCTGGTAAATGCTGTCAAATTGGATGCAAATTAGATCTCATATATATCGTATTATACAATACAGTCAAACTTCATATGTATATAAAAGAAATGCATATTCATACATACGTAAATGCCTCATATATCTAAAGTAAAGTAGACTATAATGCAAGCAACAAACGATCATTATGATCATTATCGTAATAAGTTGAAGTCTGTGCCCTCTTTTCTTTAAAATAAATACATTGAATAGTCGCCCAATGAAGAATTCGTTCAAAGACGAGTATAATTTGTCTTTCGGTTTTATTTACATTATTTCTACATCTCAGTCTGCTTTAAAAACGCATTGAATCATTCTAAACTTTAGTCTTGAAAAGTTGAGCGTAGCATGAATTAATATTTTATTTTGCAATTGCTTCGCTACATAAAAACAAATCATCTTTTCGTTGATTGAGCATTAAATTGAATTTGATATGTAATTAATAAACATATATTTTTATCTAAAGTTATGAACGAGTTTGTATTTATAATAAATGAATGAGTAGCGCGCGTTAAAAAACAAAAGTTGCACTTATTGGTGAAAAACAAGTGACTTTTTTTCATTGATATAAATAGACGGTGTCTGGTAAAGAAAAAAGTGATCGACCGGTTTACGACCGGCATAAACAAGAATCGTATTCTCTACTCTGCGAGCAATTTGTGGTTATATGAGTGTAAAGCGTTAAACGACGGTATAAAATTTTAATTCGAAATCGACAATGTTTGAGCAAAACTGGTTTCATTTATTGTAAATATAATCGTGTAATAATTGAAAAGATTCTATTAGGGCAACAAGATATTATTAACAACAAGCAATTGAAATAATTAAGTGAAAGAAGTCATTTAGATAGAATAAAATGAATTCGAAATAATAAGTTGATCTGAAAATAGATTCAATTCAATGTAACGGTAAAAATAATCATAATAAAGGAAACATAATACGACTAGCGAATCGCTTCCATTATATTAATATATAAATAATAAATCTGATCAAATTTGAAAAATCGAAAGTATGTATATATGTATGTTTTTTGATGATTTTTCCTCTCTTCATCCGGTCATTTGGTTGGTCATTCGCGTACCCGTCCCTTGGAATCCCCACGTGGACTGACTAATGTCTCAAATTTTGGACAGCTGAACCAAACATGCTCAGCATTCTCTACTGTGTCTCCGCAGTTCGCGCATGCTGATGGGCTGTCGTGACCGCGTCTGTATGCAGTTGCTTCGAAAGCAACCATGACCGGTCAGGAATTGCTTGGGGTAGTACCTCACAACACCCTGGCGACTGTCTATCCACTTTCATTACGCTTGTCACTTATTCACATATTCTCGAGGATTGTTTTTTACGCCTACCCTTTCTGCTGGCTTTCGTAGATGCGTCTCATCTCATCATCTACGTCAATAGACCGGGATCGCACTTACAATCACCCGAGCTGCCCTTTGGTGTCGACATGGTGCGAAAGCCGCTTATCTGTGTCAAAATGATAAGACGAAACACCGTCGCCATTTTCTTATAGCCCGACCGCACCGATAGCCCGTCGATCCGTACTGGGCTCGCGTCCAGCAAGACCGATATGATTACCAAGGATTTCACCTTCGCTATGTAAGCCACAGGCTTTTAAAATTTGACACCATTCCTGCCAAAGCCGTTTGGATTCCAGCTACCTTAGCCGCAGCATATTGTATATGCTGTTGAAAGCTTAGCCGATTCTCGATCATAACTCGCAGATATTTCACTACAGGAGAAAATTAAATGATGGGACACTCGCATATTCTCGACTTCCTTCCCGCTACTTTTTAGCAGAGTTTCCGCTTTGGTTTTTGCCAAGCATAGACCTGCTGAGTCTAGCCATGCCTTCACGGGTGGAACTGCATCGTTTACCGTCGTTTCTACCTGATTGATTTCCTTAGTGACGATGAGAATGCCAATAATTTTTATATTCATCACCGAAGAGCGGCGGTATATTGATTTTGCCAAAACGCTTCCAGCACCCAAAAAAAGAGTAATTTTTTGATCAATCAAACTTTGAATCAATCCACGCCAATCCGCCTGCCCGTCTGTGTAATATCTGTGGTAAAGATTCCCTTAATCGCGAAAATGAAGATATCGGTTTCAAATGCAGTAGAAATATGGGGTTAGTTCTTGCACACCGATTAGCATTGAACATAGATACACACACATATACACACATGCAAACACGTAAACTCAAAACATCTATGTTTTTCGTAAGAAAGTTGGTACTTCGCTCATTAGTCATAAATTGCAGCAGATCAATCTACAGAAATATATTCTATGGGTGATGTCCACCCAACGTCAAAATTTAATTTTTTTTCAATACATTTATAATGCATAGAAGAAAGCTTCAAAAATCCCATAAAGTATATAAATTTCTGGCCAGCTTCAAATTCGGAATGCGTCGAAACATGTCCGCCTGCCATGCTACGTAGTATCTATCGTAAGCATTCCCATGCTCGTAAAAATGAAAACATCGACTAAAAAATTGAAAAAGCACTTGAAAATAACATAAACTTTTCTAAGGTAATACCTGCAACGCCCACTTGTCCATATAAAAAACAACTGTGGACACCTTTGCTTTCTGTGTTTTCTTCTTCTCACCCATATAGTACAACACATACACTAAATAAATTGCCACTTTTCCGGAGTTCCGGAAATGGAGGAAATTAGCCGCGCTCGCCTAATATTAGAGAGTGGGAATATTAAGTTTTTTCCATTTTTTTTTTAGGGTAAAGGTGATGGATCTAAAAGATTCGGCCGCGACCGAATATAATTTAGTGGCCTGTTTAGTCCAACGTAATTTTTTTTCTTATTCAACTTTTATTTTCTTATAATAACACAAATATTCAAACCGACTATAACTTTTGAATTAAAACTATGAAGCAAAACTTTAATTATAAAAAATAAAATACCCATTGGCCGCTAAACTGGCCGCGATGCGCTCTATAGTATTGTCGATACATGCCCCGAAGCTGGAGCTAAACTGGTACTTTTTAGATTGTTTACATCTTTGCATAGAAAATTGAGTTTGACATACAAGCGTAGAATCGATGAAATGTCGCTTGTGTAATCGTTTGAAAAAGCTTTTTTCATCGAAATTTTAAAATTCTTTAGGCTGTGATTGTCATCCTGTTGGCTCGACAGGGAAGACCTGTAACCATTTAAGTGGTCAATGTCCGTGCAAAGAAGGGGTAACTGGATTGACCTGCAACAGATGCGCTCGAGGCTATCAACAGACACGCTCACACGTAGCGCCATGTATCAGTAAGTAAACAAAAGTATTAAAACAAAATATGACATAAAACTGGCCCAAGTAATGTAAAAACATGCATATCGTCAAAAAATCTTTCTTGCCTCCTGCACTCCCTCCCCTAAACCAATCAGATTAAACATATACTTAAATGCTTTCGTTTTTCATTTGTTTTTTTTCTTTCTTTTTTTTTTTTTTTTTTTTCTTATATCGTTTTTGAATATTTGCTTTTTCAACCATACTTTTCATTGGCAATATTGAATGTTGTGGTGGCTGATAATGATGATGGTGATGATGATGACGATGACGATGACGATGATGATATGCTCGACCCGATTACTAGAAGTGCCAACAAACCCAAATGCGATACAAGCTGAAAGTGCACCGGTCAGTGAATATAGAGAGCCCTCCCAAGTAGAGGAAATGAAAAAATGTAAGAATATATATATATATATATTTTTCTTATTTCATAATATTTTTAGTTTGCTTGCAAAAGTGATGAGAAAATGTACAGGTCTGTGTGTTTATAATTTATTTTCTATATACTTTTCTATTTTATTAATCTTTCCGCATACAACAACAAATAACAGTTTGCGGTAAATGTAAAGCAACTCCGAAGAAACTAAATATAAATAAATTTTGTATGGAAGATTATGGTATGTTGTTTGTTTTTGAATAGAACAAATTTTTAATTATATATATATATATATCATGTATATATATATACATACATATATGTATATGTTTATGTATAAATATTTTATATATATATGTATATATATTATATATATATATGTATATATATTATATATATATATGTATAAATTTTCATTGATGCAGCTATTCTGGCTAAAGTAATCGGATATGATCGAGCCTCACAGGATATTAGCATTGAGAAATTTTCAATAGAACGTCAAAATGAAATATTTAAATACGAAATCAATATACAAACAATATTTAAGCGTAATGGCATGACGGGTACAACTAGTTCAATGCTCGGCCGAGGTCATATGATGTGGTTGGTGCCGCGCAAAAGTCTTGAATGTCAATGCCCAAAAATCAAATTAAATAAGTAAGCAATTAATTAAGAGACAATTAAGAATTGAATATAATAAATATTTACATTATTATCTCATAGGTTTTATCAAAGATATCATGAATGCTTGTCATACTTATTTACATTTATTTCTTGTTTGAAATCCATTTCATTTCAGATCTTATTTAATATTAGGACGCGATTCAGAGGCAGCGCCTGGATATCTGGCAATTGGTCCTAGTTCGGTAGTATTGGAATGGAAAGATGAATGGTCTTTACGTATGAAACGTTTTCAACGGCGTGCGCGTAAATGTAGTTGAATCGAACCGGAAACGGAATACGTCAAAGCTGATTTAGATTTTATACACTTGAATCGATATAGATTTTTGTATAAATTGTACAGTTTGTTTAAATTTTTAACATTCTTTGGTATTATGCTATAAATATGTATAATGATGATGGCATACACACACACACACATATATATATATATATACATATATATACATATGCATAGATACATAGACCCATACATAACACACACACACACACACACACACACACACACACACACACACACACAAACACGCACGCACGCACACACATAGAGAGAGAGAGAGCGAGAGAGAGAAACAGACAGACAGAGAGATAGACAGACATACATACACCCATTATAACAATACATATTTAAAATTATGCATTTATATATTTATCGCAACATATATATATGAATGTATATGCAAGCGAATGAAATTGCAAACAAAAAAAAAAAAAAGAAAAAAACAACAAAAAAAAAGAAAACGCATGCCAAGTTACTTAATTATGTTCATACAACGTATATAGTAAAACAATAGCAAAACGTAAAGGTATCACACAACATATAATGCTTACAGGGCCGTAGCTAAAGGTATCACACAATATATAATGCTTACAGGGCCGCAGCTAGGCTCTAGCAAGAAAGAGGCAGCGGCTTATGCTCACGAAACAAAACTTCAGTGTTTAAGCAGATAAGTAACATCACACCACACACAAAAGGCTGGGTTCGGCCCTGCATATTTATATATCTACAAAACATACATACATAACATATAAACAACAACAAAAACAACAGTAACAATCATAAATAATAGCAACAGATAAAATTAATATAAATTGATTAACTGGAAATCCTGCGTAAGTGGTTGCTAATTGAATATACGCTAAAAGGATTTTTTATTAAATTTTATTTATAATTGCACTAAAATTATTTATTTATTCTCTTTTTAATTTTTAATAAAGTTTTGTTTTTAATGAAAATTTACTTTTAATAAAACAAACTTTAGAGTGGACCGTGAAGAGCGGACGCATGTTTCTACGAACACTTGTGCGCGAAAACATTTAATGTAATGTAATGTAATGTAATGTAATGTAATTAAATACTGCAATTATGGAGCATTTTAAATTCATTCTTAGCTACACGTAAAAAGAATGCCGCAAGTTTCCACGTAGATCATATGCACTATATAGTATGATGTATAGATATCATACTAATTTTGTTTAAGTCTTCGCATTGAGATTGAATATCGTAAGCTATTTTCCGTCAAACATATTTAAAATTGGCTTTACGGACAAATAGATAGGAAACTTTTGAAAGCTCGAGGATGAACCAAGTTCTCTAATGTTACAGTCAACATTTAGAATTTTTTTTTTCTTTTTTCTGAACATTGTGGTTGTATCCTACACCACTTGTGGTACAAGAGAATATTCAATATGTGCGAATATATTCAACACGCAGAAGGACTTCAGATAGACGTATCTTATATTATAACGACCGATTCAGAATCATTATCTAATTTGATTTAAGCGTGTCCATTCATCTCTTCGTCTGCCCGACTTGCCTTATTGCGCTCAATTGCAATTTTGCAGACATTTTGATGAAATTTGATACACTTACGTCTTTTGGCCAACGAAGGGTGGAAAGTCGTTATCCGGACAAATGAACAATTAAGCGATGTACTGCAGGCTATTTAGTGGCCAAGTAAAAAGTAAATGTGATGGGCGATAATAAATAAATAATAAAACCAAAAATATGCCCGTTAAACTACGCTAAACAAAATTCTGAAAGTAGTGTAAACTAAAAAATCGTGAAACGACTATTATATGCAATATATTTAAGAGAATGCCAAGAATCGATAATAGCTATTATGTATTTTTGAATTCGGATTTTTCGTATGGGTTGTACATGAAAATGGAATTTTTTTTTTTTTTTTTTTTTTTGCATTCATTTAATAAACCTATGATTTTCTTTTTTATAACCAACCAAAAGAAACAGATTTGGATTAGTGGAGCTTTTCAAACTTGCAAATATTTGCATAGGTATACGAGTAACTCACAATAATAACTACATCAAGCAACACCAAAAAATAATGCAAAACATTGCGAAATATGTATAAATTGTAAAGCGCCGCAATATATACAATACATACAACGCTTTACAGAAACGAACTTAACAGCGAAGCAGTAGAACACGCAGTTGCCCTTTTTAAAATTTAATGCCAATTTTTGATAATTAAGTCTTTTTTCTGTTGAGAGGAAAGTAGAAGAGGTTGCCTTCCTAATTTTTCCCGTTTTGCTAATTATTAACTCTTTCCTTAGCAATTTCAAATAACATAGTGTTGACTGTAGCTCGACGTACGAGCTGCTGTAAGAAATAATATAGCACTTCCTAAGTTCCTAGGATGATATATAGATGCCGTCACTGTTGACGAATCCCTACGATTTTCAGATTGTAGTGAAAAAATATCTAAATTTCGTATGTGCCGTCACTAAAACAACTGCCTCGTGTAAACTAACGGTCGGAGTTTCATGAATTTTCTAGAAGGTGAAGAGGTCAGAAGCCTATATTTGCGAGATTTTTATTCGCTAAAGCCACTTATTTATCACCTCCCCTGTCCTCATCGTACCATCGTTGATTTTTCAATACTTAAGTACGGGAAATGAGCTTTTGCCACGTCGATGGGGTATTCTAAACCCTTCCTAACTAAGGCAACGTAGCTCTTGCCAGTAAAAAAAAAAAACAAAACACAGAGCAGAGAGAGTTTATTGTTAATTGCAATTCCGCTCATGGATATGTGAGGTTTGGCAGCGTATCTGTATATGTATATATAATGTACAAGAAGATACGTTATAGAATTACAGAATATATCGGATGAACATATTAATTTTAAAGCAAATTTTAGGTGAGAAAACCGTTTACGATTTTCGGAATATTGGCATAGTGCCCATAGTTGGCCACGTTCCCGTCTATTTCCCGTGAATTTCGTGTCGAGCCATTCAGGAAAGCGAACTTACAGAATTCTTCAAATAGGGCAGCTCCATGTCTTTAATTGAAACATTCGATAACCAAAAAGTATAATATATCTGGTTAGGGTTATTTTTAACGTTTCTTGGAATCATTTCAAAATATGTATCCGAGCTCTGTCTTACTGAAAAGAAAACTACCGTGTCTTTTAACACATTGTGACGATTTTGCTTTTAATGATTGTTTCTAAAGTTCTCTAATATGATCCGTTGGAGATAACCGTAATAAAGTACACATATGGTATGAAATGAAGGTTGTTATGAAATTAAAGTCAAGAGTGATCGTTTTTGTCAGAAATGGTAATCGTTCGCCCCGACTGCGCTTCGATTTTCATCGTTGCGGATTATTGCTTATCATCATTGTAGCTTTTGTTACCTGTCGCTGGTGATGTATCCTGTTGTCGTCATCTTTCTCTCACGATATCGTACAAAAAGCTTATCTTTCTTGTGCCTGAAATAAAAATTTGCGGAAGAAAAGAAAAGTTTAGAGAACTTCCTCAAGTTTAAATGCAATGGTCGATGTTTGCAAAACTTACAATTACTTTCTTATGTGTTTTTTTTGCCTTTCGCATAGATTCATGTGATTCACGTGCTTTTTATTTAAACATTCTTGTAGCGCCTATACACGCCTTGTCTTTCGTATTAAAATGTCAGTCTTAAAATATCAAACGATTTAGTTTTTTTGACCGTAAATTCGATTTATTCGAAATACAGGTTAATTTCATTAATTTCGGCCAGTTTATATATACACATTGTAGCGTAAAGTCAGTCTAAAGCGATAACGCTCTCATATCCTATAAGCCAGCACAGAACTCTCTTTTAAAAATCCTACGAGATTTTCAATAGCTATCATAATTTATTTAATACTTTTCTCATTCCCATGCAAACTCTAATAACGGTAAGTATTCTCATACAAATTCGGCCTAAGACGAATATAAATTCTTTTTTCTTCAATCTTATATGCATTTACCAACGAAATCTATATATATGTATTGCTTTCACATATCTCATAAAATGAATATCTATAGAAATATATTTCCAATTAAGACGCCTACGCACGTATTAATTTTACGAAATGAAAGGGCAAAGCAGTCTTCCCTACATGTAATCTTATGCGGATGATACATTTATTGAAAATTTAATTAATAAATTTTATTAAATATGTGGGAGATGGTTATATTGTTATATCGGAAAATTGCTATATGACGACATTATGTATATATATATATATATATATATTTAAAAAACATAACAAAAAATTTCATATTATGTTTTATTGTTGATTTAGGAGAGACTGAACGTGAAATACACACCTTTACATAAATATGTCAATATTTACAATATATAGGCCTATCACACACTTCATCTATATAAAATCTGTTATATATATAAAACTATCCAATTCATAAATGCAATTAAAATATCGTCATACGTACGTCAGGCAAAATGCCCATAAATGACTGTGTCTGCGAATGACTGTGACCGGCCGTATCATGTCATAAATCACATGATGGTATCCTTGTTAACATTTTAACATGTTTCATGTAATCAACTTGTTTTTTTTTCTATATATATACGTGATAAAATTTTTATGGCCACAAACAAAGCGTCGATTGATTTTGTCATCTAGCTTGCAACAACCAAAAACACTTGAGGAAATTATCTCTTATTACACATTAGCCGCGTGAAATGTTGGAGGAAAAAAACAATGCTTAATACTAATGTATGTACAATTACAACCACAAGCGTTAATGTAAATTCGACAATACGTGAGAGTAAATGGAAAAATGCTAGGAATGCTGGCTGGGTATTGCATCAATCGCGGTTAAGTTGAATAGCTAAGGAAATCGCTTAAGCTCAGCCGATATAAAAGAAAAATTATAAATTATCACTTCCGAATTGGGGAACATATCCATACGTTAAACGATCACATTTAAGTTGCGACTACCAATACCATCCGACCTAAGCTTTACATAACTTTTTTATGCTTTTATGGAAATTAATGTAGCGCACGCATTAATGCCGCCTGTGTGGTTATCAATTCAATATTAATTAATTTTTTATATTAATTAAATAATTGTTTTATTACGTTGCAATGTAAAGTGATGTAATGTGTTTT